TCCACCAGTGGCTCAGGCCGAAACCCTCGGTACCACCTTTGACTTTTATATTAGCTCAGGCTGCCATAACAAAATACAGTCATGTGTCACTTAACAATAGGGATACGTTCTGAGAAATGCATCATTAGGTGCTTTTGTCATTGTGCTAACATCATAGAGTTATTTACACAAACCGAGTTGGTAGAGCCCACCACACACCTAGGCTATATGGTCTAGCCTGTTGCTCCTAAGCTACAAACCTGTACAGCATGTTACTGTACTGAACATTCTAGGCAACTATAACACAAATTACAGATATCTAAATATAGAAAAGAGGACAAGTGTGGTGGCTCACACCTGTAATCCTAGCACTTTGGGAGGCCAAGGTGAGAGGACTGCTTAAGGCCAGGAGTTCGAGACTAGCCTGGGCAACATAGCAAGCCACCACCTCTACAAAAAGCAAAAAAATTAGCTGGGCATGGTAGCATGAGCCTGTCGTCCCAGCTACTCCTGAGGCTGAGGCGGGAGAATCCCTTGATCCCTTAGAGTTCAAGGTTGCAATGAACGATGATTGCGCCACTGCATTCCAACATGGGTAACAGAGAGAGAACCTGTCTTTAAAAAAAAAAAAATACCGTAAAAACAATATGGTATAAAATATAAAATATGGTACACCTGTACAGAGTACTCAGCATGAATAGAGCTTGCAGGACTGGAAGTTGCTCTAGGTAAGTTATTGAGTGAGTGGTGAATGAATGTGGAGTACATTACTGTACAATACTGCAGACTTTATAAACACTGTACACTTAGGCTACACTAAATTTCTTTTAAAACTCTTTCTTTCTTCAATAATAAATTAACCTTAGCTTACTGTAACTGTTTTTACTTTATAAACTTTAAAATTTTTTAAACTCTTTGACTCTTTTCAAATAACACTTAGCTTAAAATACAAATACATTGTATTGCTGTACAAAACTATTTTCCTTCTTTATATCCTTTTCTATAAGCTTTTTTCTATTTAAATTTTTTAAACTATTTTCTTAAACACAAAGACACAAACGCACACATTAGCCACATACGCAGAGTCAGAATAATCAATATCACTGTCTTCCAAGTTCGTATCTTGTTGCACTGGAAGGTTTTCAGGGACAATAACACACATGGAGCTGTCATCTATGATAACAGTGCCTTCTGGAATACCTTCTGAAGGACCCGCCTGAGGCTATTTTTACAGTTAACTTTTTTTAATAAGTAGAAGGAATACACTCTAAAATAATGATAAAAAGTATAATATAGGCCAGGAGTGGTGGCTCAGGGATTCTGAGAACTGGAGAAGAGACCCTGGGCTGGAGCTGTGGCCTGCTGCCCTTTGGCTGCCGTCACATCCCTGTAACCCACTCCTAGAAGCAGCCCCACCACACCCTGGTACTCCTTCCCGTTCTTCCCCTGAAGGGGCCCCGGTCAGGCACTCCAGAATTAACCAAACACACTTCTTTTTATGTTCAAAACTAAGGATGAGACTGGGCGCAGTGGCTCACTCCTCTAATCCTAGCAGTCTGGGAGGCCAAAGCAGGAGGATCACTTGAGGTCAGGAGTTTGAGACCAGCCTGAACAAGAGCGAGACCCCGTCTCTACCAAAAATAAAAAAACATCAGCCAAGCGTCATGGTGAGCACCTGTAGTCCCAGCTACCTGGGAGGCTGAGGCAGGAGGATCGCCTGAGCCCAGGAGTTTGAGGTTGTGGTGAGCCGTGATGATGCCACTGCACTCTAGCCAGAGCAACAGAACGAGACTCTGTCCCCCCCCTCAAAAAAAACAAAACTAAGGACTGAGGCCCAGATTTCCTACTGCCTAGGAAGTTAACACAATTCTCCTGAGGCCAATAGGCTCTCAGGGACATAAAAACAACCCTACCCTCAAAATCCACTTAGCTAAAGACTAACAGAGGACAGGAGAAATGGAAATGAAAGAAAGCAACGGCCATGTCATTTATTACTACGCGTTATGTGCTTTGCGGACATCAGTCCCCTGAACAACTCCTATGAGGTAAATACTATTATTTTCTCCCTATAACAGATGAGGAAACTGAGGTTCCAGGTATGTTAAGCAACTTGTCCAGAATCTCTCTGGGCCAGAGCTGGAACTCTGACTTATGTCCCTCTCACTCTGAGGCCATGCTTTTACCTTCCGCACTTCGTTGACTTTCAAAACTTCTACTAGTCAGGAATTGACTACAGACTCTCAACAGGACGGGCAAGTTTTGTATCACTGAAGCAGGGCTGCTGTCGGGGCTCAGGAACTGAGACTACGTCTCATTCATCTTGGTGTCCTGAAAACAGAGCGTGGTTCTGTTCCATTTGATGGTGACAGAGTGTGGAGGACGTTCCCCCAGACTTTAGCAGAGCACCTGGCACATACCGGGAATGCAAACAGAATGTGTTCAGTGAATCAGGGAATGGGAAAGAAGTTGCTTTGAGATAATTGCCTTCCGACAAACTTTTTCTCCCTAAGGTACTGTCATTTTTATTTTACAGATGAAGAAAGCCTAACAAACACAAGTAATCTGATTCTGACAAACTTTTACGTGGAGGCTAATGAGGTGAACCTCTGGAGAGAAAAAGGCATATTAAATTTTTACCGTGTCGAGTATGTTAATATAATAGTATTTTGCGTAGTACTGCAGTGGCTGTGGTTTTCAGGGAAAATTAAAGTCTGGGGTTTGTCTACCCCCAGAAAGTGGAGCTCTCTGGTATAGTCTCTTTTCTATTTTCATACCAGAGTGTTCAGACAAAAAGTTGTTCTCCTCTCTACCCTATGAAATGTAATTAGGTCAGGTGTTAGTATAAACATCACTTCCTCTGGGAAGCCTTCCCTGACCACCCCCATCATAGGTTAAGAGCTGTTCCCAAGTGTTTCCATGTGGACTTGTCTCTGCCATTATAGCCCTCTGCAGAATGATCATCTGCCCACTCATTTACATCCGCCCTGGGTGGAACCTCTGTCCAGGGCAGGGGCTACATCTTGTTCCATTGAATCCCCACTGCCTAGCTCAGCGTTTTGCTCACAGTAAGTGCTCAATATATGCTTGTCGAATAAAGGAAGGCTTTGCCTTTTTCCAAATCTCCTTTGTTCAAGAGTTGTTACATTACTGGGGCTGCTGGTCTGATGGCCCTTCCTGAATGTACCTATCCCAGGCCTCCAGGCCCTGCTGCCCACTCCCCTCCAGCCAGTGACAAGAGAACACACGGAGACTGGCCTGTGTCCTCCATCTGTTCCTGTCCTCAGAGACACCATGCACTCTGTAGTGTGTTGGAGCCAGTGACCCATTTGCCCTTCCTGCTCAGCCAATCAGAACAGTAATAATCACCACATCTGTTGAATGCTTACAAAAATGCCAGCGATCTATATCAATTATTTGGAATCCTCATGACAATTCCACGAAGGAAATATTATTACTCCAAAATATAAGAAAACAGACTTGAAGAGGGCTCAATAACTTGCCAGAGGTCATACAGTAACGATGTGGTACATGGATGAATGAATGAATGAATGACCAAACAAGTGCCTTGCTAACTCTGGTGCCTTGCTATTCTTCTCTTCTTTTCTCCCATAAACACGGGGGATGGCTCCATGGAACTAAAGGAGCCAAGTGTCTCCTGAGCCAAGAGAGCAGGGAGTAGGGAGGAGTTGATCGCAGTAGAGATCAGCTCCGAGCAACCCCAAGTTACTCAGTAACCTCAGATACTTGGTCCCCAGGGACAACCTGGCCAGCCTGGGCCAGGGCAGGCAGCAGACACTGGTTCCCCTTGGCTACCCTTCAGGCACTCAGCTGGTTACAGCTGGAAACTGGAGATGGAAGGGCAAAGATTGGGCAAACCTTAGGCCAGGCAGCATGAGAGCTGATGATGGAGTTGGGGGCCCCTCAGAGGAGGCCTGGAGTGGAGGGAGGAGTGAGAGATGAAGCCCCACCCCACCATTCCATCAGAGATTCCGGGACCAGAGGAGGCAGGAGGGCGGACCAAGGGCCCTGACATCACTTGGCAATCCAAAGGAAAACCATGGACTGAGCCTCTCCATCGTGCTTGCTGGGTGGGGGGCCAGCGGAGCCCTTCCCTCTCAAGTGGCAGCCTGCTCAATACATGTCTGCCTCCTTGTCGTCTGCCTACCAGGACCCCAGTGGATGCGCATCTTGCTTGTGTAAAGAGGGACTCTTGACTCCTAACTGAGAAGACACTCCTTCCATCCAGCCGCCCTTCTCTCCAGCTGCAGAGGCAGCCGAGGCCGTCTCACATCCACCCTGGGGCTGCCGGGAGCCCAGGTGTCGGTGTGGCCGCTGTCCAGTCTGCTGCACTGTGGTGGGCACAGATCGGGGCTGCGGAGGCAGAGGAGGCTCAGAGTGGGTAAGGGACTCCACTGCGGAGGCCCAGATAGCCCAGCCCGGTTAATCATCAATGCCAGGAGAGCCCTGCTTATCTCCACTCTTCATCTCTGCTTTTTCAGCAGGGAGAGATTGAGTAATCCCCCAACCCTCTCGTGTTAACCTTGGAGGAGCCAGGCCGGGGCCGTTAAGGGCCGCTTCTTTCTTGGGCGACCCTCTGTGAACTAACACCATTTGCAAGGGGGCGCGTCCCCTCCCTCGCACCCCCTGCACTAGCCCCAGGTCCTGCAGCTGTGCAGCGGCAGGACAGAACATAGGCCACCTTTCCAGGGTCACTTCCAAGGACCTGTCCCAACTGGAACAGCACCAGGGTCAGCTGGGCCAAGGGAGACAGGACGTAGGGGGCCAACACGTCCCCACCTCAGGCCGAGGGCCCAGGCAGCCGTGGCGCCCTCCTCACACCCAAGGCGCCGGCCTGTGGCTGCGAGGGCGAAGCCTCGGTGTGGGCGGGGCCGCCGCTGGGCGGGGCCTGGCTCGGGCGAAACCTGCCCGGCAGCCCGGGACTGTCAGCCCGAGCCGGAGCCCAGGGAGCCGGTAACTCGCAGTCCCTGTCGCATGGCTGGGTCTCCCCGCCGCGCCGGAGGCCGGCGGCTGCTGCTGCCCCTGCTGTGCCTCTTCTTCCAGGGCGCCACCGCCATCCTCTTTGCCGTGTTTGTCCGCTACAACCACGAAACGGACGCTGCCCTCTGGCACTGGGGCAACCACAGCAACGCGGCCAACGAATTTTACTTTCGCTACCCAAGTGAGTGCGGGGTGAGGGCGTGTGGGAAGCGAAGACCTCGGGCTCTCTGGTGTCTTGGGAGGGGACACTTGGGTGCCCGGATCTGCCTGGGTCTAGGTGGGCAACCCTCTCACTCTGAGGTGAAGGGGCCCCGAATTTAAAACAAAACCCTTTCACTAGTGTCTGCCATACTCCAGGTACAGTGCTAAGGGCGGCCCATACATTATTTCATTTAGTCTATGAGATAGACAAAGGTGGGGAAACTGAGGCTCAGAGAGGCTAAGTGGCTGATTCAGGGTCACGCAGTCAGAAGTGAGGAAGCTGGGATTCAAACCCAGATCTGAAGCCCCGGCTTTAACCACTCCCTTGTCCCACCTCCCAGTTGGCCTAAGTGGACTTCCCTTTCCTGTGAGGTAGGTTGGGGGGGGGGCCTCCACCCTGACCACAGGTGGAAGGCAGTAATGGCAGCTGTTAGGTATGAAGCCCTCACACCTGTAGGCAGCCAAGACTGAGCGAGGTCAGACATTTCTTCTCCAGTCCTCCAAATCTGGCCCTTCCAAAATCAGAGAGAAAATGATTCAACTACCTATGAGCTAACCACAGAGCAGCAGCCCCTAGACCTGACAGAAAGCATGGCAGGGTCATTAGCCCATTTCACAGAGGAGGAAGCTGAGTCTCAGAGGGGTTGTGACTCGTTCATGATCACCCATCACATGAGTGGTAGAGCTGGAACTAGGACTCAGGCACCTTAAACTTCTTGCGCCACGAGTCACCTCCTGCTGACAAGGTTCAAGAGGGAGAGAGTTAACCTTCCCCTCCTCGCCCACCCCCCACCATGGGAACAGAGCCTCTCCTTCAAGGTTGGGAGCCCTGCCTTGTAACTTAGGCCCTAGGCAGCTGGAACCAAGAACACCTGACCTCCCAGAATTCATCACAAATACTTCTGAGCATTAGTTTTCTCCATCTGAGCAATAGAAAAAAGGATGCCTCAGTTCGAAGGCTATACATTCAAATGAGGCCTAGAGTCTCTTGTAAAAAAAAAATCCCAGTCTGTTATTATCCTACTTTCTATGTGCAGAGCTGATGGCAGGCTGTCTCCACCTTGCCCTCTCGCAGACCCAACAAAATGAAGCTCCCAATACTGAGGATATAGAGGGTGAGGTGAAAACTTGGACTTGGGCATGAAGCACCAGACTCCCCGGACCATCCTAGGCAGAAGGGGCTAGGGTTCCTCTCTCCCCATATTTTATCCCCAGCCCTGGCAAGAAAAGATGAGCCATGGAAGCTGGGCTCAAAATCAGAGCCACAGGGCTGGCATGGCAGGGCGTCATTCATCTGTCTGGAGAGGTAGGGAGTTGGGAGGGAACAGTCCAGAGGCTGAAAGAAGTAGCTCTCATCCAAGGGTCTGACCTGGATGCTTGTCAAGAAGCCTCCACTTGCTTCTCCGGCGGGCTTCACTCAGCGCCTCAAAGCCTTCCTTGTTACAAAGCCCTACCTGGAGTCCAACTCCTCGCCCCCCTCTCCTGCAGTGGTGGGCTCTCCTCGGATATATAGCTTTCCATCCCTGGATTGCAATAAGAGGGATGTAAGAGGTGGGATTCCTACCTCTTTTTCTGCCCTAGGTTTCCATCCCTGTGGACTTTGACCCTGCTGTGAGGGAAGTTAGGGGAGGTGGGAGGTGTGAGGTCCCTAGAGCCTGGGGCTTTGATGAGCCGGGTCCTTACCTGTCCCTTTGTCCAGGGGAAGGGGTCAGGGCCAGAGGGAGGTGTAACCACTGCCCTTTGATTCGGGAGATGAAAGGGAGTTCTGTGGCTGTTATTGAGCTCTGGGACTGGCCAATGCCAAGGGCATGGCTGCTCTGAGGGTCTGTCTGTTTACAGGAAGGGCCCTCACAGCCTATCTGGTCTACCCCTCTCAGGTGTGGAGAGAGAGCCAGAGAGGTCATGTGACCCACCCAAGGTCACAGCAAGATACAGAAGGAGCCAAGCTAGAACCAGGTCTCTTGATTCTCCATCTGCGGCCTGTTCCCTACACTACAAGCCTCTAATGCCATGAGTCAAGAGATGGAAAATAAGAAAGAGGGGAAAGGAGCCAGGGCTACAAGGGGCACGGATGCAAACACGAGAAAGTGTTCTAAGAAAAAAATGTGGACAGGCCCTTTTTATACATCTCAGAGACCTTACTTGCAGGGAGGGGATTTAGGATAGATGGAATCAGAATCTTTTTGGAAGAGGGGGCCATGGGGGATGCTACCCGGATGAGAGTGGCTTGTGACCTCTTCCAGGAGAGTGCAGCCCGCCTGTCCTAGGGGTGGGTATGGTGGGTGGGGGTTGGGGAAGATGGCCTCCCCAGCTCCCCCTCCCTTCTCATTGCTCCTCACATTAATATTTTTATATCCACACTCTACAGTTGAGGAATCCAGGCTCAGAGAGGTTAAGTGGCTTGTCCAAGGTCATAGGGTCAGAAGGGGGCGAGGAGACCTGGAGTTTAGATCCAACTCTGTCAGATGCTAAAGCCCCAGATCTAACTGCTCCCTTGTCCCATAATCTTGTCTTGTCCAGGAATCATCTAGCAGGGTTGGGGAGGGGCTGCAAGGGAAGGAGGGTGGGTAATAGGTGGCTTTAGAGGGCTGTTTCTTCTCTCCAATCAAAGGTGCATGGGTCTGGTGGGGGTGGGACAGGGTGGACAACAGGCTCCTTCCCACCCCGATAGGGACTCTCTGAAGGGAATGTTGAGAGGTCATCTCATCCATCCCCCTGCCTCCAGCCAGAATAGCCCCTCACTCATCAGAGCCCAAGGGGAATCTCTCTGTGTGGAATGTTCCCCAAGGAAGGAGATTTCTTGATGTTTAGACTCCAGTTGAAAGGGCAAGGGATTGAGTTTTGATTCCAAACAAACCTGGTGGGAGATGTAAAGATTACTGCCATTTAAGACAAGTTTTAGAGTGGTTTTGGCATGTAGTGGACAGGAGCCCTTCGACCCAGCACGCTTTGTTATCTTGCTGTCCTTGAGCACAAGAATAGACATGGATTCTCTTTACTGTTTGTACAAGGAGAAAAGAAGTTAGTGGGACCTAAAAGAAGTTAGGGTGCAGCCTGAGTTTTTTGTTGTTGTTGTTTTTTTTTTTTTTGAGACAGAGTCTTGCTCTGTTGCCCAGGTGGATGCCGTGGCACCAGCATAGCTCACAGCAACCTCAGATTCCTGGGCTCAAGTGTTCCTCCTGCCTCAGTCTCCCGAGTAGCTGGGACTACAGGCACACGCCACCACACCCGGCTAAACTGAGTTTTAAGTGATGCCTCTCCCTTTCTGTTGGGGATTTTTACCCCCACCATCACAAACATTTGTCATTTCTTTGTGTTGGGAACATTCAACATGCTCCTTCTAGCTATTTGAAACTAATATATTATTGTTAACTATAGTCATCCTGCAGTGGTATAGAACACTAGAACTTATCCCTCCTATCTAGCTGTGATTTTGTATCCTTTAACAAATCTCTCCCTATTCTCCCTTTCCCTTATTCTTCTCAGCCTCTTTTTATTTCCATGAGATCAACTTTTTTTAAGCTTCCACATATGAGTGAGAACATGCAGTGTTTAACTTCCCATTCTTGGCTTATTTCACTTAACGTCATGTCCTCCAGTTCCATTCATGTTGCCACGAATGACAGCTCTCATTCCTTTTTATGCCTGAATAGTACTCCCTTGTGTCTATATTCCACATTTTCTTTATCCATTCATCTGTCACCATTGGGTTTTAAGATCTAGGTGATCTGGGGAGTGGGTGGATCTAGAGAAGCAGGGTTGGGGACATTTGGTGAGGCCAGTGGGCCTCTATACCCTCGTGCCCCTCAGCCATGGAGGCTGGCAGCTGAGCTGCAGATCTCTCATTTCAGCACACACCCAACCCTCTGCCAGGGGCTTGCAAAATCATTTCCTATCTGCCCATATATATGGCACAAAAAAAGCATAAAAGTGTGTTTCAGTTATTGATTGCATTCCAAAGTTCAATAATAAGTATGTGACTTGTTGATGCCTCTTCAGATTGAAGAAAAAAGGTGACCATGATTTTTTTTTTTAATTATCTACCTTTTTCTACAAGAGATTCGAGGTCATTTACAACAAAAACATGTATATAAGAAAAGAAAATGTATTCCTAGCACTCTGGGAGGCCGAGGCGGGTGGATCGCTCAAGGTCAGGGATTGGAGACCAGCCTGAGCAAAAGCGAGACCCCGTCTCCACTAAAAATAGAAAGAAATTAGCTGGACAACTAAAACTATGTATATATAGAAAAAATTAGCCAGGCATGGTGGCGCATGCCTGTAGTTCCAGCTACTCGGGAGGTTGAGGCAGAAGGATCGCTTGAGCCCAGAAGTTTGAGGTTGCTGTGGGCTAGGCTGAAGCCACAGCACTCTAGCCCGGGCAACAGAGTGAGACTCTGTCTCAAAAAAAAAAAAAGAAAAGAAAAGCAGCGAAGCAGACACAAATAACGAACCCCTCAGGGGCGGACTATTGTTAGGTTGAGATTCCAATGTCACTCTGAGCTTCCAGGTAGCCAAGAAAAGAGGGAAATATGAACAGTTATGTTGTTCTCATCAGAACCAAGGAAGCCTCATGCGTGCGATTCTCTGTTTCTTCGATGTCTGTCTTCCATGCTCTGTGAGAGCAAAGACTGCGGCTGCCTTGATGACAGCTACATTCCCAGAGCCTGGTCCATGGGTGCTCGCACATCTGCCGCATGAATCTGGAAAACAGACGGGTTCCTCTGGGGGAAGCGACATTTCCTAGTACTAAGTTCCGAGAGAAATTTCTCGTGTGGAGCCCTAAGCTGCGAGTTTAGGGTAATAATGGGCCCTGTTTCTCAATAACAAATTTTCCACAAATGCGATAACAGCACTCATGACATTCTTTCTCTAGTGTTTCTTGATTGAAGCCAAAAATATAGCATGGCATTGCTACACGCATAGGCTTAAGACAAAGGAGATAGGACCAGAGGGACCGGCTGAACATCAGACTGGGTTGTTTCAAACCCTATTTATTTACAAGAGATGGGGGAGGAGAGCTGTTATAGAACAAACTAAAGCAATTGTTTGTATTTATCTCATTTTCAGTATTACCGTATGTTATTTTTATTGGCTTAGCTTTTTATGCAGAATGGTACAGAATAGAAAGCAAACAGAAAAGGCCCCAAATCTTCCTGCCCATAAACCCCATTGAGTCTTTAAAAAAATTCAAGTGATTCATCTATAAAAGTAAATATTCGAACTATGGAAGGAAACAAACTAAAAAGTAAAATTCTCCTTCCCAGAGTCACCATATTGTACAACTCCAGGGGGCGTCATTGTTCTTGGAGTTGTGCAACACAGCAGCCCTGCCCCCTTCCTTCAATTTCTTTTCCTTGAGGTCATTTCTTTTAACAGTTTAAAGCTATTTCCTAAGTTATTTTTTTAAAAAATAAAAATCCTCCAAGAGGTATAGACTCTAAAATATGAGGTGTGGAGGTTAGACATCAAGAAGGACTTTCCAGCAGAAAGGAAAAGTTGAAAAGAAGACTGTAGGGAAGAGAACTCTGAGCATGGAGGAGCAGGGGCTACAGCGGGAAAGAGGAAAAGTTGCATTTTCAGCCACTCAGTTGTAAGAGACCCGGGGATGGGGCAAGTGAGTGAGGCAGAGAATGAGCAAATGAGTAACCAGAAGGCTCTACTCCCTCGCTCCAACGTGGGGCAACAGGGATAGTCTGGGTCCCACTGATCCAAGCTGGCTGGCTCAGGGCTGGGAGGCCCTGCCATGCCTGGGGAGTTTTATAGGGTCGGCTCAAGGCAGCCCTAGCTGGTGAGAGCTGGGGACACTGGCAGGGTGGCTGATTAATTTATAGGTTGTGGCCAGAGCAGCCCCTGAATGCCCCCACGCGCCCCTGCCCGCTGCAGGCTTCCAGGATGTGCACGTCATGGTCTTCGTGGGCTTCGGCTTCCTCATGGCCTTCCTGCAGCGATACGGCTTCAGCAGCGTGGGCTTCACCTTCTTCCTGGCTGCCTTTGCCCTGCAGTGGTCCACACTGATTCAGGGCTTTCTCCATGCCTTCCACGGTGGCCATATCCATGTTGGTGTGGAGAGGTGGGCAGCAGCAGCCTCCCTGGCTCCCCCAGGCCCATCTGGAAGGCCCCTCAAAAGTGTGCATCCTGAGCCATGTTTTTGACCCATCGATTGATTTGTCTAGGTGCCCCGCCTGTTCCCATAGCCTGATTTCTTCTCCCATCCTTGACCCACACACTCAGCCCCACCCCCTCATTCTTTAGGGCCCCTGTTACCTGAGAGCTGTGAGGCTAGATAGCCTAATGGGAAGGGCAGGGTTTCCAGGAGCTCTTGGCTCAAGTTCTGGTTCTTCCACCTACTATGGGCTTTGTCAGCCAAGTCACAGAACCTCCCCGAGACTCGGTTTCCTAATCTGCAAAAAGGGCCGGGTGATCCCTTCCGACTCCCAGGGCAGAGCTTGAGCTCCTTGCCTCCTCTCGGGATCTCCCTCCGCCCCGCCCCCACTCACGCTGCCCCCAATTCACGCCTGGCAGAAGCCCAGAAACCACCCTTCCCCCCTCCCTGCCCCATCCCCCAGCATGATCAACGCTGACTTCTGTGCTGGGGCCGTGCTCATCTCCTTTGGTGCCATCCTGGGCAAGACCGGGCCCGCACAGCTGCTGCTCATGGCCCTGCTGGAGGTGGTGCTGTTTGGCGTTAACGAGTTTGTGCTTCTCAGTCTCCTGGGGGTAAGAGTCTGGGCAGGGCTGGGTGTGGGGTGGTCAGTGCCAGGCTGGGGGCTGCTGTCCAGCTCCTTTCCATGCCCCCAGGTGCGGGATGCAGGCGGCTCCATGACTATCCACACGTTTGGTGCCTACTTCGGGCTGGTCCTCTCACGGGTCCTCTATAGGCCCCGGCTGGAGAAGAGTAAGCACCGCCAGGGCTCTGTCTACCACTCGGACCTCTTCGCCATGATTGGTGAGGCCTGTTGAGGTGGGGTAGCATGGGGGCTGGTTCTGGATTCCTCTGAGTCTTCGGGGCTCCGGCTGGGCACTCTCTTCCCACTGGATTCTGCTGTGAGAGCCTGGGATCCGTGCTCGTCATTCCCGACAGTTTCCAGACAGGCTCTTAGAACTCAGCCCTGGGGTACGCACACGCCCCATATTCACTCCCAGAGGCCTTTCTAAATCCACTTCAATCCCAGTTTAAAAGCTTCCCAATCCCCCATCACCCACATGATAGAAACCAGTCTCCTCTGCCTAGCACACTGGCTCCAGCAGGTTTTGGCCACCCTCCCTGTCCTCCTCACCTACTGTCCCCTCATTCTGGGCTCCAGCCAGACCCAGCTTCTGCCCGCCCCTTGCCTCCAGGCCTTTGCATGTTTGGTTCCCAGCAAACAGATGACCTCTCTCTGCCTTTCACCTACTGAGGACACTTCCTCCCAGGCAATTCCCCCAGAAGCCCCTGCACTCTCAGGCACGGGTTGGGGTGTGGGTCTTGGGTCACTTTGCAAAGCAGTAGGGTCTGACCTGGGAGCCCCATCACCACCCCTTGTTTCTTCTAAATACGTACCTCCACCTTGGCCTTGGCTCCTCTCCCTACCTTCACAAACTTCAGGCAGGAGAGGAAATCTGTATTTTACTTTTTCATAGAAGGTAATGAATAGGGACTGCAGTGCCTATTCTTATATATATATATTTTTTTTTTTTTTTGAGACAGAGTCTTGCTCTGTTGCTTGGGCTAGAGTGCCATGGCATCAGCCTAGCTTACAGCAACCTCAAACTCCTGAGCTTAAGCAATACTTCTGCCTCAGCCTCCCATGTAGCTGGCACTATAGACATGCGCCACCATGCCCAGCTAATTTTGTCTATATATTTTTAGTTGTCCAGCTAATTTCTTTCTATTTTTAGTAGAGACGGGGTCTCGTGCTTGCTCAGGCTGGTCTCGAACTCCTGAGCTCAAACAATCCGCCCGCCTCGGCCTCCCAGAGAGCTAGGATTACAGGCGTGAGCCACCGCGCCCGGCCGCCTATTCTTATATTTGAAAAAAGAGGCTGGTTTTGTATTTCTCACCCACCTCTGGGTTTGTTGTGAAATAGAGCACAAGTAACCCTAGGTCAGCTGAGGCCTCCTTGCCCTTTCAGACTCAGATAAGTTTGCTTTGAAGTCCAAAGGCTTTGCCAAGATTTCCGTGCCTTTCCTGGAGATCTACATTCTCAAATCTCTGCCTGCCAGCTCCTGTTTTTTAGTGTGTACTTCACGCAGCCTTCCTTGAGTTTTCCACAAACTCTCCACCTAGAGGACGCGTATATGTGTGTGGTAGAGTTCACTCAAGACTGTGGTTTTGGCCAGGCACGGTGGCTCACGCCTGTAATCCCAGCACTTTGGGAGGCTCAGGTGGGAGGATCGCTTGAGGTCAGGAGTTCAAGACCAGCCTGAGCAAGAGCAAGACCCCATCTATACTAAAAATAGAAAAATTAGCCGGGCATGGTGGCGCATGCCTGTAGTCCTGGCTACTCAGGAGGCTGAGGCAGGAGGATCGCTTGAGCCCAGGAGTTTGAGGTTGCTGTGAGCTAGGCTGATGCCAGGCACTCTAGCCTGGGCAACAGAGTGAGACTCTGTCTCAAAAAACAAACAAAAAGACCGTGGGGTTGCATGGAGAAATCACACCCACCCCACGAACCACTCAGGACTAAGGGGTGGTCCCCAAGCCGCTCACCTTGCTGGTGTACTCTACAGGGTCCCTAGCCTTCTCCCTCACCTGTCCATTGGCTCCTTCTTCCTCTCCCTCCAGGATTGACCTGGGAACCTCACCCAGGCAGGCAGGGTATATGGACTCCCAGTTCTTACCTGAAAACATGCGGGCCCAGCCAGCCCATCTGGTGCTCAGCAAACAGAGACTCTCCCGAACACTGCAGGGTCCACCCTTTCTAGGAGGCGATTGAGGTTATAAAACACATTGTTTTCCTGATACATATGTCAAGTACCCAGCATGGTGTCTGACATGCAGTGGCCTTTGCATTTTTCCTCCCCTTTTCTCAATACTCTGTGCCAGCACCCTTGATAGCTGCCATTTGTCAGCATTTAGCACCTGCTGGACTGTGGCCTATACATTTAATCATTGCCTCCCTGAATCCTCACTTTATGAAGTGGTATTATTATCAACCCCACTTTATAGATGAGGAAACTGAGGCTCCTGGGAGCAGGTGACTTGTCTGCAGTTACACAACTCATACCTTGTGGGGGAGCCACTCACTCCCTCTCACTCTGCCTGCCGACCACTTAGGGACCATCTTCCTGTGGATCTTCTGGCCCAGCTTCAATTCTGCACCCACGATGCTGGGGGACGGGCAGCATCGGACGGCCCTCAACACGTACTACTCCCTGACCGCCAGCACCCTCAGCACCTTCGCCTTGTCAGCCCTCGTCAGCAGCGATGGGCGGCTGGACATGGTATCGGGGGGAGGCCTTGGGAGAGGCTGAGGGATGGCCTGGGAGGGGGAGGAGAGGCCTGAGACCCTGCAAGGAAGATCCTCCAGGGGAACAGATAAGGGCACAGGCACGGGGGCTCCACCTGTACTGGTGGTGGTGGGGTCAGAGTGGGAGGAGATGATATGATAGGACAGTTAGAGGTTAGATTGCAAGGGGACTTCCAGAAGTAGTGGGTGTCACTGTGGTTGGATGGGGTTGGGCTGTGTGGGTGGGGTGATGATCTGAAAGGGCCACCAATGCCTTGCTCTCCCCTGTTCCCTTAGGTCCACATCCAGAATGCAGCACTGGCCGGAGGGGTTGTGGTGGGGACATCAAGTGAAATGATGCTGACTCCCTTTGGAGCTCTGGCAGCTGGCTTCTTGGCTGGGACTGTCTCCACACTGGGGTACAAGTTCTTCACGGTATAGATGCCTCTCGGGCCCTGGGCAGAATATGGAGGCTTCAGTACCTTTCCTCCCACCTCTCCAACAGGCCTAGGGTGGGGGTGGGAGGGGGCACAGGGGACTCATCATCTTTCCTGTCCTCCAGCCCATCCTTGAATCAAAATTCAAAGTCCAAGACACATGTGGTGTCCACAACCTCCATGGGATGCCAGGGATCTTGGGGGCCCTCCTCGGGGTCCTTGTGGCTGGGCTGGCCACCCATGAAGCTTACGGAGACGGGTGAGTTTCCCCCAACCCACACTGCCGTCATTATCCCTATGGAATGATCCCCCTCACTCTCCTCCTCTGTGGGCCAGCAAAAAAAGCAGTGTGTATTTTCATTCATTCATTCATCCACATTCTGAGAGCCAAGGAAACTGGAGTGAACAAGATTAACCCAGGGACTGCCCTCCTGGTCCTCAGTCAAGTGCATAGAAGGTGATTGAACAAGTGATTTCAAGAGTGTTAAGTGTTACTACAAAGTCAGCTACAGATGATGACCCTTCGGATCTGTTTTTGCATATCAGGGCTCAGAGGAGTGGGTGGGCAAAAGCGACCCTCAAATTGAGTCTTAAAAGGTGTGCGGGTGTCCGCTGGCGTATGGGGGTGGGAGGGTGTTCCAGGCTGTGGGTTGGGCTTGAGCAAAGTCCTGGGGGTGAGACTCAGCCTCCCTTGAGGCCCTTTGGGCTGCTTCATGTCCATTTGTGCGAGTGCCGGTGCAATGACCAGCGCTGGCCCTGTGCTCCATCCCTGTCTCCCCTCACCCCCGGCTCTCTGCAATCTGGTCTCCCTGCAGCCTGGAGAATGTGTTTCCACTCATAGCTGAGGGCCAGCGCAGTGCCACGTCCCAGGCCATGCACCAGCTGTTTGGGCTGTTTGTCACACTGATGTTTGCCTCTGTGGGCGGGGGCCTTGGAGGTGAGTGACCTTGGCTATTGGCGGGGCGGCGCTGCAGGAGCTCCAGGGAGGGGAGAAGACAGGAGGGGAATCTCTGGAGGATGGACCATTGGATCCCATTCCCCATACTGATTCATTCAGTCACAGATATTTATTGAACACCTACGTTGTGCCAGGTGAGGGGTTGGGTTGTGGGTTCAGGGGTAATGTCCTTTCAGTGGGGAGTTGCAGGTGGGTGCCTGTTCCTTCTAGATGCCAAGGGAGGCTGGGGAGCCGCTAGGAGCTGAGTGAGACCCTCCCTTCCCGATCTGTGGCTCCCCTGTGCTGCTCCCTCTACCCACTAGAGGGCAGCCCAGCCTCAGGCTGAGGCCTAGCGGGGCAGGCTGCGCTATCGCTGGCCACCGCAGGACGGGAAAGGGCTGCCTGGCTCACCGCTAGACCAGAGCACAGAAACCTTCCACGGAGGCAGACTAGACTGTCCCCGGGCCCCGAGTCAGGCAGTCCTTCCTCAAATTTGGCCTTATTCTTTTTGACCTTCAAAATAAAACCTGATTCAGCATCCCCACCCTCCCGCTTTCATCCAGAGATTTTCCTTCTCTAACCAGGTTCAGTTCATTCATTCACTTAGCAATTTATTTATTCAATAAACATTTTCTGTGCCCCTCCTGTGTGAGAGGCCACAGAATACTCAACAGCCGTGGTGCATGGTGGAGTCATGATTTGGTCTATTACTGACTGTACAAACTTGAGCAAATTATTTAACTTCTCTGAGTCTTGGTTTCTTTGTCTGTAATACAGGGATAGTACTCACCTTGCAGGGTTGCTGTGATTTCTCAGGAAGGCAGTGCTGGGCAAGCTGTTTGCACAGGGCCTGGCACATAGTAGGTGCTCAACAAATACAGCTGTGTTTTGCCTGCACCCGGCACCATGTTGATCTCATGCATCCCAGCCCCTCTGTGCCCTGTGGTGTGGGTGGAAATATCCCCATGGTAGGGGGCGGAGAAGCCTCACATATCCTCCTTCCCCTACCAACACCAGGGCTCCTGCTGAAGCTGCCCTGCCTGGACTACCCCTCAGACTCCCAGTGCTACGAGGACCAGGTTTACTGGGAGGTGAGGCACAGCTGCAGCCCTCGCACACTCTCACCCTCCCTTCCCTGCCTCACCTCCTGTGGCCCAACCTGCCTTCTTCCTTCCTTGCCTGCTCCTTCTCTAGGGTACACCCCTGAGCCATGGCCACCAGCCCCCTGGAGCTGCCCCTTTACCCTTGTCATCCCCCGCTGCCTTCCAGGTGCCTGGGGAGCATGAGGATACAGCCCAGGAGCCTCTGAAGATGGAGGAACCCGACACTCAGGCCTAACCTGCTACCAGCAATGAGAGGACATGCTCCTTTTAGAAGATGATTGCCAGTATTGGGAAGTCCTTTTCTTTTTCTTTTTCTTTTTTTTTTGAGACAGAGTCTTGCTATGTTGCCCAGGCTAGAGTGCCGTGGCATCAGCCTAACTCACAGCAACCTCAAACTCCTGGGCTTAAGCAATCCTCCTGCCTCAGCCTCCCGAGTAGCTGGGACTACAGG